ATTATTTCATGTAATTGAAATGCATTATTAATTTATTTAATCATAAGAAAATTAAATATTCATTTCTCATGATTGTCTGAAGTGAAGCAAACGAGACTATATATATGTGGATAAGAAAAATCGAATGAATGTATTATATGTTTATACAATGTTTGACAAAAGCAACCAGGTTTCTGAGTTGATATGCAGTGTAGATAGTGGGATCATTGGGATCGATCATTGGGCGTTTTTTTTGTAACAATTGTATGTAAGTGCATTGATTATTAAAAGGAAAAGTCTTGTCTTTTTTGTCTTTTGGATACACTTTTTTCTTAAAGTCTCTTTTAGTATTCGCTTTGAACCTTCATCGGATTCTGATTTCCTAGTTATATATAGATTTTCAAAATAAAAGTTATACTACTAAATTAATTGTCCAGAGCGAAGCGGAGGACTCTTAATTTCTATGCAGGGTGATACAAAGGTTACTTACTTTTTTGATGCATCAATTATATATGACATATCAAAAAAGTAATTCCGTATTTTCTGTCCGTCCATCCATGTGATCTATATAGTATTTATCCATTTGTGTGTATATAGCATGATTAAAAATCTATCTGCCCGGTTGTTTCGGACTTATATCATAGTTATCTAATATTTTTTAAAAAGAATTAGTTTATGGCAACCTGTGATCGACCAATCAAAATCGATCACATGATCCACCAGTTAATTTAATTATTATAAATTTTTTTTTTTTAAAAAAAAAAAAAAAAAAAAACAAAACTAAACTAATGAACATCTTATAAACATCGTTATGCAAAAAAAAAATTTATTGTTGTGCAACGAACGTCGAACCAACAACATCCTATTTAAAAAAAAAAAAACAGTGATATGAAAACTTAAGTGGCACAAAAAATTCCAACGATTTCCAAAGACGGTACCAAAATCACATGATGGCTTCAGCGATGACTCAAACGAAGGCACCAGAATTACACAACAACTTAAGCGATGACTCCAACGATGGTACCAGAATCACATGACGGCTTTAGCAACGATTCAACGAAGGCACCAGAATTACCTAATGTTTTAAGTGACGACTTCAATGACGGTACCAGAATTACATGCCAGCTTCAGCACAACTCCAACAAAGACATCAGAATTACCCAAAGACTTAAGTGACGACTCCAATGATGGCACCAGAATCACATGACAGCACCACAATCACATGATATGACAGCTCCAATGAAGGCACCAGAATTACATAATGATTTAAGCGACATCTCCAACAATGGCACCAGAATCACACGATGGCTCCAAAGTCACACAACAACTTCAGCAACGACTCCAACGACGATTACATCAAAATTCTGGTAATAGCGAATTACACACAAATAGAAGAAAGAGAAGAATATTAGTAAAATGGGAATACCAATAGAAAAATAAAATAACGAAAAAAAGAGAATAACGAAAGGAGAATGAAAGAAAAAGGGGTAAGGAAAGAAAAAGAGGTAAGGAAAGAAAAAGGAAATAACAAAAGTAAAAGGAAATAACAAAAGAAAAACAAAAGAGACGAAAAAAAAAAAAAAAAAAAGCAGAAAAAGAGAAATGAATAAAAGAAAGAATAAGAAAGAAGTAAAATGAGAAAGAAATCAAAAAAAAAGAGATGGGACAAGAAAAATTGAATGAAGAAACATGAATAAAGAAAAGAGAAAAGAACGAATAAAAAGAAAAGATAAACAAAAAGAAAGAGAAAACAAAAGAGAAAAAGATAAATGAAGGAATGTAATAAAGAACGAAGAACGAAAAACAAAAGAAAGAAGCAAAGAAAATTAAAAAAATTGTAAAAGAAAGAAAACTAAGACAAAACAAGAATAAACGAAGGTATAAAAAAAAAAAGAAGAAATAACAATGTAAGCAAAAACAAAGGAGAAGAAGTAAGAAAAAAATAAAGAAAAACAGAGAAAAGACAAAAAAGTAAAGAAAAAAATTAAAATCACATACCTGCACAAAAAGCAAAAAAACAAAGAAAAGAAAGGGTAAGAAAAAAATAAAGAAAAACGGAGACAAGACAAAAAAGCGAAAAAAAAATTAAAATTACATACCTGATCCCGAAATTAAGCACAACAATAAAAGCACAAAAAGCAAAAGACAAAGAAAGGCACAAAAAGCGAAAAACAAAAAAAAGAAAAGGTAAAAAAAAAAAATAAAGAAAAACGAAGAAAAGACAAAAAAGCGAAGACAAAATTAAGCGAAACAACAAAAGAAATAAATGGAATAATTCTTGTTTATATATGATCGTCAATCTTTACTGTAATTGGCCAATCATATAGGGTTGCTATGGTGACGGTTTTAAAATTGTTAAAATTTTTTTATAAAAAATTTTTTTAAAAAAAATTAATGATAATAACTTTACAATAAATTAAATTTTACAAAATTACTAATTATTAGTTTTTGGAAAAAAATATGGAGAGTTTTTAGTGACTAAAGCTAAAGAAAAATTGGTTCAAAAAGTAAGTGGATTAATTTTTTAATCTATATATATAATTAATTCATTTCAAATAAGAATCTAAATATCTTATTAATTTAGAGAGTAAATATATATTTATGCATATATGTTATAGAACAATTTGTGAATTTTAAATAATATATTATTAAATTCTTTCAAATTATTTCGTTTAGCCCATAAGTACAATTCATTATGGATGTTTGCAAAACAAGTTTATGCTAATTAAAATCAATCAAATTTTAACAATTTATCAATATTGAATCTTGATACTATTTGATTTAAATTTGTAAGCATACTTAGTAACTCGCATAAATTAATATATTTATTATTAATTAATAAACATCGTTTAATGTTAATTTAGTTTGTAAGTATAAAGGTTATTTATTGATTTACATACCTAATATCAGAAATTAATTAAGCAAGATCTAACATTTTATCATAAAATTTAGTATGTGAGTATAATCGTCTAATTTACATAAATTAGTAATTCAAATTTCTGATAGTTTGTCTAATTTATCAACTTAATCTAGTTTGTAAGTATTAATATGCAGACTGAAACGATCAATTATCTATAATATTAACAATGTTTTCTATATTACTGTTTAGTTCGTGAGCATAAATATTATTATTTGTCTACTATTTAAAATCAATAGTAGAGCTGTTAACAGCTTGTATGGCTTGACTCAGTTCTTAAAGTCATGGTTCTTGTAGTTTTAATAGTTATTACTAGGAATGTTATACTCAATAGTAGTAGTTAGATAAATTGCGGTTATAAGCTACAGCTCAACTACTGCTTAATCTGTAGTTTTAAAATCCCAATCAGCTTGGTTAGTTTGGCATTATTATGCAGCTAAAGCTAACTCAAATAAGCCTCTAACAGCTCTAATTAATAATCTAAGTTTATATTGTCATAATAATTTTATTTTATTAATTAGGTTGTAAGTTTTAAAATTATTTATCTATAAATTTAAATTCAATAATTCAA